CTTTTCATTCTCCTGATATTCCCTGCACACAAAATAGCCTACGGAAGTTCTACGTTAATATTCTTCATCCTTCTGTAAACTTCTGAGAATCAATGGAAAGCTTCTTCTACACCTATTCATATCACATTCATACATTGTAGTGTAGAAAACAGGGACCAACATTGACTAATGAAATAAAAAACAAAACAACAACAGAAAACTGATCTAGACTGAGAATAAAGTTGAAACAAAATAAATAAAGTTGCTAACTCGCGCAGCAAGTCTTCAATTTTCTTGGCGAGCCTATTGTCTAGAGCTCACCTCGATCTCATTTTTTCCGCCATTGTTATCCCGATCCAGCACGTCGCCGCCGTCATCCCTTCTCTCGCTGCCAAGGGAGTGGAGAATCAAGAACATCATTTCAAACTCTCCATACCCATCTGATTTTTTAAATTGGTCCTTCTCCCTTATTCATAACCAAGATTCCTAGATGACCCAAATTGGATCTCACCTTGCCAGATGTTTCGCCGATCAAGCTTTGTGTATAGTCCTCTTCCGCTATGCTGCATCATCACACCACACTAGTGGAGAATATGGATTTAATAACGGTTATAACGAACTTTTAATAACGGTTCGGAACCGTTATTGTTCCAGCACCTATTAAAAGTCTGGCACTTTTAATATGGGTTCGGGAACCGTTATGGAAGCTTTTTTAATAACGGTTCAAATGAGCTTTCAATAACGGTTATAATGAGCTTTCAATAACGGTTATACGGTGAAAACCAACCAGAGTGGTGCTTGCTTGCACGCGGCGGCCGTCTTCTGTGAAAGCCATTCTTCTCTTTTGTCATGGTCCCCTTAGTTCAGTACCTAAGTTTAAATTTAATTTTCTTTGGTCGCCTTGGCACTATGTTAGTTTGTGTGAAAAGAATGATCATTAAAATGGTTCTCGTTTTTGTTTGTAGGGTTTTATAATTTTTTTTCTAAATTGCACCTTAGGTAAGTGTTTGTTCCTGAACTTTTTTCAACTTGTTTTACAATGTATTTTTTTTTAGAAAGTAAGTGGTTGTTTACATAAAAGTGATAGAACATCATTTCATGTAAGTTTTTATCTGTAGGCACATAATCCTCTTTGACTTTGTGTGTTTTCCTAATGGCCGGCCATAAATGAAAGGGTGTGGCAGAATCTTTTTCCCAATTCTAAATCTATACTAGGGAGTGTTAAAGGCTACTGTTTGGCATGGCAGCAGTTTAGAAAACGGGGGAGCATTGTGGAAAATATGCAGCAGGCTTGGTCTGGGTGGACAGCTTCTATAGCAGGTCGCTTCAAACTCAATATTGATGCTGCAGATAAAGGAGAATGGTGGGGGTTGGGAAATATGCAGCAGGTTTTTAAACGAGAATGCTTCAATCTCCTTTCACTGCCATCTCCTTCGCAATCCCTAGCTATTTCCAAGCCAAGCAATTAACAGAAAAGAGCTAACCAATTAAAAGAGCTAACCAATTAAAATTCACCTTTCACTGCCATCTCCTTCGCAATCCCTAGCTATTTTCCAGCCATACGTACTACCAATGAAGAGACTATACCTGGCGTAGAGGACATACCTAGAGTGGAGCAGTGCAGTCGTGGATTTGCCCGCGCTGCCTTCAGCCGCTCGTCTTCAGCCGCGTCGCCTTCAGCCACTCGTCTTCAGCCGCGTAGTCTCCTTCGTCCGGAGGGAGCAGCGATTGGGCGTATATTGGGAGCAGCAACCTCTTTCGTCCACGTAGATTGTTGGGAGTCGATTGTTTGGGGAGGGTTTTTAATTTGGGCGTAGATTATTTGGAAGGGTTTTTGGCTGGGTCGCTGGGCTTGGTTTAATTTTAGAACTTTTGATAAGGGTTACACCATAACTGACATTGAAAAGTACTTTTTTAATTTATAAAATATACCCCATTTCTAAATTAAAGTTTTCGGAAATTAGAAAAATGGCCCCGTTTTTCTAATTCATGTCGGTTTTTTAATGTCCCATATGAATAATGTTTTTTTTATTTATGAAAGATACCCGCTCAACTTATTCGAACTTTCATTATTTATAAATATGACCCCGCTCCTACATACTATAACGGTTCTAATTGAACCCATATTAAAACCTAGTTATAGAATACATATTTTGCACTAGTGCCATGACAGCCACCGCCCACCATCAAAATAGATCTCCTTGAACCTGTATGGCAGCACCTCACTGAGAGACTCCAACCACCATCGAACATCGGAGGCATTGAAGTGGAACCAAAATGCCAAACTCGGAATTCAACACCAAAAACAAACCCTAACGTGAGGGTACCAAGCCGCCCAGTGGCGGAGCCAGAAATATATGGTTAAAGGGACTGGTCCTTAAAAAATTTACATTGTATGGGCCAAAGTTTAAAATATTAACATATTTTACAGATTAAAAGTATTTATACATAATACTCCCTCCGTCCCCAAATTAAGTTCCCAATTTCCTTTTCGGGATGTCCCAAACAAGTTCACACTTCCTTATTTGGCACACAAATTTACACCAAAACAGTGCAAAACAGTGCCAAAACAGTGCAAAACAGTGTCAAATAGTGTCAGAACAGTGTACTCAACAGCAAAATTTACCCCTCAGTATATTTATTTAATTTTCTTAATATGTGTGAAGTCAAACTAGGAACTTAATTGGGGGACGGAGGAAGTATATACTTAAAAAAAGGGAAAAGGGGCAAATAAGGCCATGTACTAACCAAAAAAGGTCAAATAAGGCCTTATTTATGAGGCTCTGTCCGGCCTTCGCCATTTGGGGTGGTTCTCGGTGGAATTTTTTGATTGATTGTTTTTGACCATCTTATTCATCAAGTCTAGTTTACTCATACCAAATTTCAGATAAAAATTTAATCGAGAAGACATTCAAATGAATTCTTGAAGATAACTGCGCTTTTAACTGCGCAATTATCTTCAAGAATTCATTTGAATGGCTTCCCGATTGAAGTTTTAGCTTAAGTTTGGTAAGAGTAAACTAGACTTACTGAATAAGATGGTCAAAAAATTTCATCAAAAAATTACACCGAGAACCAACCCAAATGGCGAATGACGGACAGAGTCTCATAAATAAGGCCTTATTTGACCTTTTTTTGTTAGTACGTGGCCTTATTTGCCCCTTTTCCCTTAAAAAAATAATTTCTTGCAAGGGTCGGAGGCCCCTCTAGCCCCCTGTCTCCACCCCTGAAGACGCCGCTAGAGAGAGAACCTCTCGTTTTCGTTTGCACAATAATCCAGTTTGAGTTTGTTCCTGTTGTTCATAACTATTAATAATAACTTTAGTAAAATTGATATTGTTCTTACCTTCTGAATAAGAAATGCTCTAGAAGTAATGTTTTGTCATTGTATATTTGCAGTATCACCCTCCTTATCTAACACAAAACTGCATGCAACAATCAATTTACTCCGTATTTGATACACCATATTTGTATCCCTGATTTCAATACTAGAAAACTGCTCATGATGCCATTTAGTTTGACTTTTGTTTTTACTTGTTTGCTTGTGTTTTCAGAAACTTCAATTTCATTTGTATTCAGTCATTAAAGAGTTGATTACTTATGTTTAATATGCCATACTAGAAATCATGGTTAGCTTGATACTACATGCTACTGCAAGTTACCTCCCACAATGCCACTAAATGTCATGGGAAATAGATTTCAATTCCCAAACATATATCTTAATGTTATATCTTAATATTTGCAGTTCATACGTATTCTTGGGCATCTTCCTCATCGCGCAACGCGTGTTATAAAAAACTAGTCAAATATTAAAAACTTACACCAACTCGTATGAAAAGTGGGTTTTCATATTGACTATACAATGTATTGACTATTGAGGTCTTTTATCCATGGGTTTCATTGGTGTAATGTTATTCGAATTTTCTTTTAATATATTTAATGCCAAAACTAAATGTTTTATTTTCAAAGATATGCTTATGATACCTTTTGTATGTGTATTACCCACCCCACGTGTTAAAATTAGGTTTTCATGATTTAAATAGATTTTTAAAAAATATTACAAAAATAAAATTTTCTTACAAAATAATGACTTATAGTTACAATAGTATACAGTTTAGGAGTCCATATTTTGACTAATGTAATTATTTCATTTAGAATTAAGTTTCCATTCAATACCCATATAATCAATTGAATTGGGAATTTTCAAAATAAAAATACTATTTAAGGATAAATAATACTCCTTTCGTCTCATTTTATCTATCTTACTTTTCTTTTTGGGTTGTCCCAAAATAAGTGTCACATTCTCCCTTTTGGAAGGAAATATGTGGTCTACATCCTTTGACTTTATTATACACAAATCTCAACCACAATTTTTACCTTTTCAATCACTTTATTAATAATTGTGATAAACACAAATGAGACATATAAAATGGGACGGTGATAGTATTAATTACTACCAAATTTAGAAAAAAAACGTATCTTGTTTAAATTTGGAAATGCCAAAACATAACTCTAATTATCTTTTAGAGCAATTCATTATATAAGTCACTCTTAATTTCAAAATTATATATATTTGAATTCAGTTTTTTTAATGGATTTGAGTTCAGTTTTTGAATGTAAGTTTTGATTAAGTTTTAACATATTGTTAATTGTAAATATTTACATAAGTAGTATGATAAAAAGTTGGTGTATACTCCTTCCGGTCTCTATTAAAGTTTCCAGTTTGACTTCACACAAATTAAGAAAATAAATTTAATGTTACTGTGGAGTGCACTGTTTGGCACTGTTTGGAGACTGTTTGACACTGTTTTGTTTCCTACGATGGAAGTGTGAACTTAAATAAGGGACATCCCAAAAAGGAAAGCGAAATCTTTAATAGAAGGGAGTACCATCTGATCAACTTGATAGACCGAATTGAAACTGTGTATGAGAGGGAGCATATATGTGGATACCCGGTAGTATATATGCTACGTAGTATTTTTTCTTGTTTATATTCTCTGGGTTGCTTTAATTTTCTCATGTACAGTAACAAAAACGACAACAGAACCGAAAGCGTCTGTTCATATATATTCACACACCCAGAATCAATGCAAAGACTGTTCTTTCCTTTCCATCTCTCTTTGTTTCTGGCGATTCCCTTTGCTCGCCGGAGGATTGAGTCACTCACAGAAGAGGGCGTTCCTCCTGATGATTGCGGTTGATGGAGCAAACCTACTTTAATCGGAGGTATGGATCGCTTTCTTTTTCTCATGCACTGTAGGGAAGCTATTGTCCCCCCTGGTCTTCCCCAATTGTCCGGTCTGGGTTTTGTTGAAGCATGAATCCCTCTCCTGCTTTGTTTCAGATCTGATAATGTTGGACTAGAGAAGGAAGAATTTGGGTTTGTGGGAGCTTTATGCTTCATTTTGATAGCGAATTTAGTGTGACTGTGGTTTTTCGAACATAGGGCTTAATTTTCTGCATTTATGGAGGGAAGCGTGAGATCAGGGGGTGTAGTGAAGAAGAGAAGCTCTTCTGGTTGTTTGATTATCAAGAAAAAAGATGGCAGAGTTGGAGGTATGGGAATGGGAGGGATACGTCCTTCAGGTTCTTCTCATACGGATAACAAGAGAGCAAGAATGATAATGCATGATTCAGATTCTAGTGATGATATTCCAGAACCTGTTAGGAGGAGAGCTTGGGATAACTCTTGTAATGGTTCACTTATGAACAGGAGTGGAGGCATTGAGATTGAGAGACAAGCGAATATATTAGGTCAATTTCAGTTTAACGAGCACGCGAGGAATGAGAATCAAGATGCGAGATTGAAGATGGTGAGAGGAAATATGAGGGAATTCGAAAAAGGGCCTCTTAGAAATGTGGTGATCCAGAAACAGAAGCACTCATATTTTGATAGTTCGGGCTCAAAGAATGTGCTGGGTGATAGACCAAGAGGTATTTGTTGTGGTGAAGGTGATGAAGAACATTTGCCCATCCATTTGATGAAGCTGAAATATTCTGATGAGCCAATTAGGGTGCAGGGAAAAAACGGGGTCTTGAAGGTAATGGTGAGTAAGAAAAAAAAGATGGGTTTATTGCATAATAATGAATTCCAGAATGCTGAAAAGAAAAAAGCTTCTATGTCTGAACATGCCAATGAGCTAAGACTGCAACAAACACTGTATGCTGCTTCTAAGTCGATTGAGAGGGATAAAAGTGAACTGTCAAAGTCCATTGAGAGGGAGAAAAGTGAGCTAAAATCTCAAAAATCACTTGGAGAAGAAACAACTTCATCTGCAGATTCTGAAACAGACGGAACTCATAAGTTGGTCCCACCAAGCTTTTCTGAGGCTGGTGGTAGCTCAAGTAAAAGGGTAAAAGAGGAAGAAACCAGATCCTCAGCACCTGAAACTGAATCTGCAGGAAACAAGGAAGCAAAAGTGAAACGTGGGGGTAGCACTGAAAAACAGCAATTGCGTGAGAGAATCAGAGGAATGCTGATTGAGGCTGGATGGAATATTGATTATAGACCAAGAAAGAACAGAGATTACCTAGACGCTGTTTATATTAGCCCTAACGGGACAGCCTATTGGTCAATAATCAAGGCCTATGATGCGTTTCAGAAATACATGGAGGTAGATAACGGTAAGAATATTTCTGTTGGGAGTTCTTTGCCAGTTGCCCCATTGTCAGCAGATTTAATAAATAAGCTAACTAGGCAAACTAGAAAAAAGATTGAGAAAGAAATGAAAAGGAAGAAAAAAGATGAAAGCATGAGCGGTAGAGATATCAAGAGGACTGTAGTGAAAGTTTCTGCAGAAGGCAAGCCACGTAAGGGAAAACCTCACGCCACCAATCAAACAAATGAGGATTTCGGAATCTTGAAAAGTGGAAGAAATTTAATCCTAGGAAAGAAAAGCGACATAATTGGTAGGTGTACACTGTTGGTTCGCAGTTCAGAGAAAGGACAAACCTCTGAAAATGACAACTATGTCCCGTATTCCGGGAAAAGAACATTGTTGTCATGGATGATTGATTCTGGGACTGTGAAGCTCAGTGAAAAGGTTCAATATATGAACCGTCGAAAATCAAGAGTAATGCTAGAAGGTTGGATCACAAGAGATGGCATCCACTGTGGCTGTTGTAGTAAAATTCTCACAGTTTCCAAGTTTGAGCTCCATGCGGGGAGCAAACTGCGTCAACCATTTCAAAACATTGCTTTGGACTCTGGAGTTTCTCTATTGAAGTGCCTTGAAGATTCATGGAATGGGCAAAGGAAGTCTGAATTCCGAGATTATCATGCTATAGGAATCAATGACGATGATCCAGATGATGATACTTGCGGTATGTGTGGTGATGGTGGGGACCTCATTTGTTGTGATGGCTGTCCGTCAACTTTTCATCAGAGCTGTCTTGGTATAAAGGTAACACACTGTTTTTGTGCTTGCATGGTCATTTCTTCTGTGAGATATTTCTATTTTTTATTTTCATGTCAAGATTCTCCATTTCTCCTTACTGTGAACTGAATTGCAAGTGTGAATCCTTCAATAAGTCTTCGCTCAAAATTGGATGAAGATTTATTTTTATCTAACGCCCTTATTGGATGGAGAGTTTTGGAGGGCTTAGTTTACTATATCTTGATATATATTTAATATTTTACAAATATTGAAATTCTAGCATAATATGTGATCGTATAACATTTGAATCACCATTTCTTTATTTCTCAGAAATGTTTTATTCATCAATATTCAAGATATAGAATTTTAGTTTAGACCCCCAAAACCTTTCCTCCAAAACCTTCATCCGAAGACTTAGAGAGTTAAAGAAGCCAATCGTATCTAGTGTCCTTAAATGGAAATGGAATTTCTCAGAGCAAAAGAACCAGTATTTATAGCAATCCTTGCTCTACCCTTTTTCTCTAAACCATGTTAAGTCACAATCATAATAACAAATCAACATTGGGAGGAATGTCACATGCACTTGGCAAACCGACTAACATGTTTTCCTTACAATATATGCATGGTGTGCTTCAATGCACTGCAGATGCTTCCTTCTGGTGATTGGCATTGCCCAAATTGCATATGCAAATTTTGTGGGGTTGCTGATGAAAACCCTGCAGAAGTAAATAAGGATGCTGACACGCTTTTCTGTTGCAACCTCTGTGAGAAAAAATGTAAATTCTTTCACATAGTTTTATTTTATGTATTTATCATATTCTCAGTTTTAATATTGTTCTATACTGCTTTCTCTGCAAGTGAAATTCTACATTTAATTTTACAGATCACAGATCTTGCATGAAAGAACAAAATGCTTTGCCTATGAATACTAATAATTGGTCTACTTTTTGTGGCCATACATGCCTAGAGGTATGATACATGGGTACTTATTTGACCAACACTCTTCAGATTGCTTTGCTAATGGGAAATCATTTATCTGTCTTTTTAGCATGAGAAGAGTTAATTCATTGATGGTCTTAGTCCCGCTCAAGGAAAGTGTTGCCTGAAAGTTAGTAGAGTCTTTTGTATATAGCTTCGAAATAGTAATATTGTCTTTTTATTTTGCAGATTTATGATCATTTACAGAAGATTCTAGGTGTTAAACATGAACTAGAGTCAGGATTCTCATGGTCTCTTGTGCAACGATCGGAACTTGACTCTGATACCTCACATCTTTCCTTCTCTCAAAGAGTTGAATGCAACTCTAAGTTGGCAATTGCTTTGTCTGTCATGGAGGAGTGTTTTATGCCCATTATTGATCGAAGAAGTGAGATTAATATTATTCAAAATGTCATTTATAATTGTGGGTAAGCAGCTCCATTTGACTTTCATATTTATGAAAATGCAGTAAGCGAAAAAAGTTAAAACCAATAAAACTAAACGCATGCAGTGTGTTCCTAATCGTGTCTTCAACTGCTTCCTTTTGCAATTGCTATTTTATTTTGTTTTATTTTATATAAGGGTTTGTGTGTGAATTGAAGTTGTCTTTTCTGTTATAAGCTATTTATACTCATGAGTGGCTTTCTAAATATTACTCCAATGTTTTTCATGTGCAGGTCAAATTTTAATCGTCTTCATTTTCGCAGCTTCTACACAGCAATCTTGGAAAGGGGTGATGAAATCATCTCTGCAGCGTGTGTAAGGTATTCTAAGTGATCCAATATTTCTTAACATGAGTCATGAGATGTAGCTGCATTTTCCCTCAATTTTTGGCAATATTCGAAACAAAAATAAAAATAAAATAGGAAGTGAGAGAAAAAAGTTAAGGAAAATAGTTGTGTATGCTTTGTTTGACCTCAAAAAATATGAAGGAAATTTACATTGATTAAGCATTTTTAATATTATGCGTAAATTTTTTGTAATAGAAATTATTAGTAAAATGAGTTTCAACCTATGTTGTAAGAACCGGACCAGGAGTTGACTCGGACAAGTCACTGGATCAAGAGTCAACGCGGACAAGTCAATGGGTCAAGAGTCTAACTGGACCCAGGTGGGTCAACTCGGTCAACTAAATCAACCCGGTCAATATCCATTAAAAAATATAAAGTATTTATAATTATACTACGTATATGATAATAAAGTTATAAGGTTTAAAACTAATTTCATTTGTAATTTAATACTACCTGTGTCTCACTAACATTGGGAAATGAGGAGGTGACACTGTTATTAAGAAATGTGAGTTTATGTGGTTGAAATTGAATTGACAAGGAAGAATAAAGTAAAAATGATTTAGAATCACACAAACTTTACCGGATTTGGTATGAGACAATCTTAGTGGGACGCACCGAAAAGGAAAGATGAAACAATCTTAGCGGGACAGAGGGAGTATTACCTCCGTCCCATTGGACATTACCAACTTTGAGTTGGGTGTGAAAAGAAAGGTAAAAACTGTGTGGTTAAAGGTTGTGTAGAAGAGAGAGAATTAAGTTGAACCACAAATTCATTACTTTAAAATTTTTGGGACAAACAAAAAAGGAAAGTTGGCAAGTCCAATGGGACAATGAGTAGTAATGATCACAACAATAGAAAACAAAAGTAATGTACCAAAATTTATATTCTTTTTACAAAATTCAAAATTTTTTTAAGATTAGATGGTTAATATATAAACATAATGCATATATACAATCTTAAAATGATTGTATAAATATATTTGATGCAATTTTCAAATATTTCATACACTGTATTTTGGTATACGGTATACCAATAACTATGTTAGGAATAATAACAATGATTACCAATGGATACTTAATAATGTTATTTTAAGCTTAGACATGTTGCAAAGGTTAAGTACAATTAACTAAATGAAGCAAGAGAGCACAATCGCCCAAGTAACGTAGGTGGTTCGGAACCACTAGGCCACTCGCGCCACCTGAGTTCAAATCCCACCTGCGTGTAATATTTTTTAAGAGCTTCCTATTAGCTTAGTACCTGAGTTATCCAATTTTCCAAGGTTCGGGGCGTCCTGGGTCCGCTCGGGTACCAACAGTTCGTGGGTTATTCCGGTTTCATCCATTATAACAGGTCCATGGTCTAACCCTTGGCGATTTGAGGGTTACCTGAAGTGGGGTCATAACTAGTTTGCACTTTTGCTTCTGTTGTTTATGCTCCGAGTAATTAATAAAAACAATAGATACTGATCATATAATATGTGCCATCTTGTTAGAATCCGTGGGGCGCAAATTGCAGAGATGCCATTTATTGGGACCCGCCACATGTATAGGCGCCAAGGGATGTGCCGACGGCTTTTCTCTAGTATTGAGGCGGTATGCATGTCAGTTATTATTTGTTTTAACAGTAAGCTCTTCTTTGGTTGGGGATTACAGGAGGGAAGAGGAGGAGCGAGATTCACTTTATTAATTAAATACTTCCTCCATTCTTTAATCTTGCAACATTGTGATTTTCCACTATTCACAGACCTTACTTTGTGTTAGGATCATGGGCTAAGGAGAATAATAATAAGAATATTAGAATAATAATAAATATTTGTGATAGTGTATTAGAGGGTCCTGGGCTTGGTATTAGTTAGCTTTGGCTGACCCACAAGGAAAAGATTATAAATAGGAGTCGGAGTAGAATAAAGAGGTAGGCAGAACTAGGATCTGGACTGGGACTTGGGAGTGTTGAGACTACTCGAAGTGTCTCTATCGTTCTTTTTTTATTTCCGTTCTTCTCTTTGTACGACAATTACTATCATCTGCCATTGTAATAGCTTCTGTACTCCTTTTTCCTGAGTTCATATACAGTAAATTGTCTGGTTCCTATCATTGGTATCAGAACAGTTGTCCTGGGAAGCTTCGATCTAAGTCATGCGATAAAAAAAATGGAGCAGCACAAGGAATATCGAAGGTCAGAACGGAAAGTGATCGCCTCTGGTTTGCGCGCGAAGTCGCGAACACTGAGGAGCGTGTGTCTACTCATGGCGGAAAGGAACTACGCAGGGAGCATGGAAGATCCGGTCAGGATGCTTGGCGCGGAAAAGGTTGAAAGTGATTGGGCTAAGGAGATGCGCCATATGTTGGGCAAAATTCGTCACAGACTCAAGCGACATAGAGACAGAGCGAGGAGCCCTCCTAGACACCGTCGGCCGATTGAAAATAATCTGGTGTCTTCATTCGTTGCTCTTCCTAGTTCGCAATCGCGAACTGCATCCGGTAGTTCGTGGACATCTTCGCAATCGCAATTCTCTTCTCAGTCGCCAGCACTTCCTTCCTGTTTTCTGGCTTCTTCGCGAACTTCATCTCATAGTTCACAATCGTGAACTTCTTCACAATCGCAGGCACGAACAGTGTCTACCAATTCGCAGGTCTCAGTTCGCAGAAATCAACGCGCGACTTATCTCAGTTCGCAGGTCTCACCTCAGGTTTCATCGCATATTTCCGCTTCTCACAGTGCGAAAGTTGAATCAGCATCGATCCTTCAGCTGTACGTTAGTCAGCGACAAGTTCCCTCTGAAAATGCGTTCATCCAGGGTGATGAGGGAGGGGAGGAGAAATCTTATGTGGTGGCTCAAGCCTCCAGTGCCACTGAATATGAATTGGCTGATGATTTAAATGATTTAAATACTACTGTCACAATACAAGTAGACGAGCATCAAGTTACCTCAAATACGGCTGCTATTAATGGAATTAATAGCGAAGAGAGGTGCAGTATTCCATAGAGTCATAGACAACGGAATATCATCACACATTATACCTGATGCCACCACAATGCACAGGTCAGTAAATGATATTGCCATATCTCAGAAAGAGGAATCATTAGGGAACATTGGGAGAACCATTTCTCTGGATTTTGGTGCGTGGACTGTCAATCATAGGCAACTGGAAGATCAGGTAAAAGTCACAGATACAACAAAGAGGAGGATTCAAGCACTGGCGTGGAATTCAGATCTTGCTGTGATGACTGTTGGGCCTGACGTTTTTGTCTCTCCAACTAGGCTCAATCCATTAATGTATCAACACTTGTTTCCATATTTAAAGGAGAGTCATACATACCCACATTCTCTGCTATCTATGGCATTCATTACACATTTAGGGAGATGAACGATGATGATATTCAACCCACAGGACGTCCACCAGATAATCCGGAAAGGGCAGAAAATGATGAGGCCGATGCCAGAGATAGTTGCTGAAGCTGCAGAGGAAACTGAGAAAGTAGCATAGAGGAACGTTATGAAGAAGTATGCATTTTTGGTTTACCGGAAGAAATATGTAGATCACGAGGCACAGATGGGTTTGATGGATATTGGATAAAGCTGTTGAGGTACACGACCGAGCAAATCGAGGATGGATATATTGTGTAGGCGGGTGGTTGCACTACTGTGTATTTGCGGTAAATACATTTGGAGATCCTGACACGAGTAGAGGGCTGTTTAAAGGTAGATTTGCACCTGAAGTTCCTCAATATCCCACTTTGGAGGTTTATTTTGTTGCTGCAAGAGCTATGGGTTCTCTTATATGGGGAATGAGAAGAAAATTTCCCAGACTCGGTGCTTTGGCTGTTAGATACTCTGACATCTGATGGCAGCAACATTGAGAGTTGTGGAGTTGCACAAAACCTGAGCGAGTGGATGCATATGTTTACAGAAAATGACTATATCCTGGAGGTGCAAAATGTGGAGCATTTGACAATTTTTTATGTTTTTTATGCGACTTATAATACTGTCAGTATAACTCAAGGAGGCATAGATGATCTGAAGGATGCAGGTATCAGAAGGTTTCAACCAGACTTGGGTCAAAATGAATTTCAAGCATTTATAGTTACAAATGTAGGCGATTCTCGTTGTGTCCTATCTAGGAAGAATCAGGCACTTGAGTTATCAAGAGATCACAAGCCTGATTTTGAAGATGAATCTGAGGGAGAAGTGAAACACTTACAACTATCTGCCCTAAGCAAAGAGGGACTTATATTCCCTAGAACCTTCAAGGTACAAAGAGAGCTACAGGTTCTGATATTAATGAAGTCTGGGGCCACTCTTAATCTCATCTCAGAAATTGACAGAGGTGGTGCAGATGTACTATAAAGTAGCAGTAAGGTTTCAAGTTGAGATGGGGAAGGGAGAGCAATTATCTCTACAGAGCAGTTGTGAGGTACTAAAGACTTGGGTACAAAATTCAGTGATGACTGAGGATTTCTATTTGTTAGACCTTGGAGAGATTAATGTGATTCTGGGAATAGGACCACTAGCCAATCAGGAAAAGGCAGAGAAAAATTTCAGGAAACACAACATAAAGTGGTTGGGAGATGGGCCAGAGAAGCAGTTGCTGGAAGATTTTAAACTCCGCAACATTGTGGAGCAGGATGCAACAAAGTCCTTGCATCTGCATCTGCTCTTTCTTGCTATACTCTTTCTGGTTATGGATGGAGTGATGGTGAAGGTTCAAATCAAGAAGCTATGGGTTCAGAAATTCGTGATGTATTGGGAAGGGAGAGGTGCAAGGATGAAGCTGAAGCTGAAGATCAAGGCTGTTTCATAGCACCCACCTTGAGGACAAGGTGGTTGTCCAAGGGGGAGATATTTTAGGATCATGGGCTAAGGAGAATAATAATAAGAAGAATATTAGAATAATAATAAATAATTGTGATAGTGTATTAGAGGGTCTTGGGCCTGGTATTAGTTGGCTTTGGTTGACCCATAAGGAAAAGATTATAAATAGGAGTGGGAATAGAATAAAGAGGCAGGCAGAACTTGGATCTGGACTGGGACTTGGGAGTGTTGAGACTACTCGAAGTGTCTCTATCGTTCTTTTCTTCTTTCCGTTCTTCTCTTTGTACGACAATTTCTATCATCTGCCATTGTAATAGCTTATGTACTCCTTTTTTCTGAGTTCATATACAGTAATTGTCTGGTTCCTATCATTGGTATCAGAGCAGTTGTCCTGGGAAGCTTCGATCTAAGTCATGACATAAAAAAATGGAGCAGCGCAAGGAATTAATTCAAACCCGCAAGTTAAAAAATGGAGCAGCGCAAGGAAGTTGTACAAGGATTTTTTTTAAATATTATGAAATTGTGTAATTTCCTATCAAACGCGCAGATTTCCAACTCTACAAGCGCTTCGTTTTCAGAGGCTTGTACAGGTGTACGGATTTCGATCCAGACCCTTCGTTTTCTAATCCATCTCTTTTTTCCTTTATCGTTTATCTTCTTTATCTTTGTATATTCTTATGTTATTTTTATATTCTAGCTTTTTATGCTCTTTTTTATCTTTTATCTTTCTTATATTCTTGTGTTATTGTTATCTTATATTTATTTATCTTTATTTTATTCGTTTTATCTTACTTTTTTTCTTTCCGTCCATCTTCTCTGTTTGGCATCGATATCATTGATCGATTCATGTTAGGCGACCCCAAATTCTTTTGGGATTAAGGCTTGGATGTTGTTGTTGTTGTTTTCATTATAGTACCAATTACCAAAACATAAGGAACAGTGTACCAAATGTAAGGTACACCGTACCGAACGCGTACCGAAATGAACCTACCCCTCCGAACCGGATACAGTAGACCTAGCGAGCCGCGTTCCCATTGGTGGTTGGAGTTATTTACAAGTAGATAAAATCACATTCTGAATGACGGGGGGTTCATCCAACTCCAGGGAATCATTTAAACATGATATGTGGGAGGCATGTAATGCTGCTATTTTCAGTATTTGATCAAACCAGGAAATTATCTGATTCCTGGATATATCTGAATCCAAGCATGATGATATCCTCCATAATCAATCCCATGCCAAACCAGATGAAGCCTTTGAGGGTGGTACCATCCTGAGTTTGTTGTTGAAGTATGTAGCGATATTCATATTTCGATTCATGTCATGTGATATGACTAAGTGATACTGTTGGCCGTCACACGTCTACCACAGCACCCTCCTCCTTTATCCTGGCTTGGGTGTAGTTGAAGTATGTGCATAAAAAATATCAACGAAAATCAGTTGATAGACAACGATAAAAAAACAAATACATCTACTGTAGAAATATTGTTTTCATTTTTGTTCATCAATATGTGGTATGTTTTTTCTTCTTCTATCACTCGGTATAAAACACTTTGTGGTTTATGCGCAAATTGCAGGCCCTTTTTAGTTTAAGGGTAGAGCAATTGATAATTCCTGCTGTATCTGACCATATTCATACCTGGACTGAGGTGTTTGGTTTCCAAAAACTTGAGGAACGACACAAGCTTGAAGTGAAATCCATGAATATGTTGGTGTTTCCAGGGATTGATATGTTACAGAAGTGGCTAGTGAAACCAGAATCATCAGCAGGTAATAATTCATTCATTACATTCATCCATTACATGGCTTATATATTTTTACTCATTGAACTGCTGTGATTCTTGGCTGCATGATATGCCCAATTTTATTGTTTAATTCTGATAATTTATCATGTTATTTTGGGTCTATTTTAATTCACTTTTGGGAATTAATGACTAATTTGGACTTAACTTCTTTTTTTAATAGGAAGGGATGAAATCCGAAGGAATTTTAACTCTTAGAGCCAAATTGCAAGAAGTGGATAGTTGAAGGATAAAAATCTTCAAATCAGCACCTTAGCCATCTTGATGTGTCGTATACTCTGACCAGCGAAATTTCAGCTTTGGTCGAAATTAATTGTGGTAGCCGGTGGAGATTAACTTCCCAAACTTGAAGACCTGAGAATCTGCCCAATTCATCCTATAAACACAGCAGCGCAGCAGCAGTAAAGAGGGGGAAGAGAACGGATGTGAAAGAGGAGAGAAAGAAAGAGGAGTAGAGGAGAGAAAGAAAGAGGAGTTCAGCCGCTTCTTCATCAATCATCTTCGTGTTTTTATTCTCTATTAATTAGTTAGTTTAATTCCTGAATTTCTAGTTCTTGTATTTCAATTTCAGTACTTTTACTTTCATGTTTATGCTATCCAGAAGTGATTTTCCCCTACTTTGAGTATGATTTTTGTCTCGACCTTTACCCAAGGGATTTGGGATTAAAGCATGATATTAAGGGTATGTTTGCAAAAAAATAGAAAAAAGTGATTTTCAACTTTTGGCTTAAAAAGCTGAAAAAGAGTGTTTTTAAGTGATGACTTTTGCTTAAATTGAACACTTAAAAGCTAAAAGCTAAAAATTGCTTTTTTATTTTTTCTATTACTCAAAAAGCACATATTTTATCAAACATTATCAACTTCTACTTTTCAAGATTAATTTTTTCTCAAACAATATCAACTTTTACTATTAAGCACTTTTTTCAAAATCATTTTAAAAAGTGATTTTCTTAAAACATAAGCAATTTCAAACACTCCCTAAGTGATTAATTCTTGTGTTTGATACCTAGCTTCATTTGAATCGACAAATTATTTTTCTCCAATTAAATTTATTTTATGTATTTTTCAAGCGAATTTTGCATGAGAGCTCGTGCCAAACTCTTGTTAGAATGTTAGGTGTTGTGTATTTGTGTTGCACAGATGGGTGAGCATGATTCTCGAACTCGTAAAATAAACACAATTCGCCTAACTAGACATAGTTGGGTAATCGCCCAGCAGCATTAGATGCCAATGCCCAAGGATTATTCCTCCTCTTGCACCATTAGCAAACCAACTCTATTTGCTCACTCACATCTTTCATTATTATACATGTAGAACGAATTCTGTTGGTGTCCGTCTCTACAAGATGTGTTATAAATTATTCATAATTTTTATAAATTATTTAGGAGATAATTGGTGAGGCAAAGCCTAGGGCACTTGGATTATAAAAACAGAAAACAAAACAAAAATGATGTATTTTTTCACATTTAATACGACCTTTTTTTAGTGTGACCGTGTGAGCTGTGTCAAGTGTGGTAGGCATCTCAGCCTGCGTAGACTTCTTTTCAAATGTTCTACACTAAAATATGCAAGCATTTGAAAGTCCAAAGGAGAAGAACTGCTAATTTGCAAGTAAAACAGCAATCAAATCTAGGCATTTTATAAGGACAACGAAAAATATGGAATATATCATCACTAAAAGTGTCGTCATCTGTTTTGGCACAAGGGTCTTTCATTTGGATTATTATTTTCTTGTATGAATCCCATATGGTCACTTTAGATTTGGTATTATTTGTAGTTTATTACTCTGTATTATTTAATGTTGATCTTGTTTGATTTGACCAGGTTCAATTCTTAATAACTTGAATTAATCATGTCTCAAATTTTTAGGCTCTCGTTGATCAAGAAGGATTATTGATGGTACACGACATAGGCAAAAGTAAACTTTATGTGATGGGTAGATTTAAAAAAAAAATGCTAAGTTTGTCCTGTCCCTCTCTAAGAGTTCGTTCTTGAATTTTTTGGGGGGAAATTCTCAAACTGTCAGTGAATGTTAACCTCTTTAAATGTGACACTTCATTTCTGATTCTTTAAAAAATGAGTGTTAATAAGGAAAATATATTTTTGTATTCTGGTGGAAGTATATGATGAACAAGAAATTTCTGCTAAAAATGTGAGTGATATCGTTAGAATTAGTTACATGGTCACTCAATAAGGCTGGTTATTTGAAACTCAAAAAGGGGCAAGTAAGGAAATCTGGTAAAATAAGGTAAACTCGGTCTCAACCCATGTTAATGTTAGGTGTAAGAGTCTTTGATATACTCCGTAGTAAATTGCAACCATTGATTCAGAAGGACTTAAACATATTATGAGGTGCTTCATGCGGTCACACTTCTCATTCAAGAAAATTGGCATGGCTAAATTACAATTGAAAATGTATAAATCAAGTAACAAGAAGGATCCAAAAGGATTACAACAACAACATTTAAGCCTTGGTTCCAAAATACTTTGAAATTTCAAAGCGATAAAATGATACATTAGAGCATTATTACATTTTGACATCATTGATTATGACGAAGCAATGTTATTTCTTCGATATAGAGGTGTGCATGATATATTGTTGATGTCTCACGACGGAAATCTATAAAGTAATAAAGTGTTATATTAAGATCTAGACTCCTTCTCGTATCAGGTTGATCTTTTAGGATGAAATTCCGGATCTTAACATGGTATCAAAACCAAATTGATCCATGGTGTGGGCCATCTATGAAAAATGATGACACAATTAAAAAAATGATAATGATGAACCGATGAAAAAGGAATGACGGCACGATCCAGACGAAATGTCTAGTCGTGAGAAAAGATGTTGAAGTCTCACATCGTAAATCTATAAAGTAATAAATTGCTATATTAAGATTTGGACTCTTCCTCCTATCATGTTGATCTTTAGGATGGAATCTCGGGTCTTAACATTTATTTATCTTCCAACTAGGCATGCATGTAAGAGATAACTATTAAAGAATCCAGCATGTCTATTATTAACCCCACACACTATTGGATGATTAAAATTATAACTCACCTTAGTGGTTATTAAGTCATATATAAATATGAAGCATCACATAAACATAAATGTTTAATTTCCTCAGCGGAGGTTCATATGGTTGTGTGTATTGGTTGGGTATAATACGCACAACCACAATCATTAATTAATCTAAAAAAGCATGATATCTCAATCCAATTCATGCAAGATGACATGTATTTGGAAACGTTTGATGCTTTTTTGTGTGTTGTTTGGAGATCATCTCATGGTGGATTGCTTTATAGGCGTCAATTGGGGTAGATCGGCGTCACAAAACTTGGTGCCGTCAATGGTGGTGGATTTGCTTTTACAAAACGACATCCCCAACCTTAGAATATATGGCCCTAAGCCTAGCATTCTTGTCGCCTTTGAAGGCAGCCCCACCGCCATTGCCGTCACCATAATGAAAGACTTTGTCATGAGGAAGAAATGGACCAATGTCAAGAGCATGGATGACATGCTCGAAAATCTCATCATCCCGCCCATACAAAGAGGTGTTAACATTCAGTAAGCATATCCCATCCATATATCATTACAAAAAACATGAATTTTTCGCAGGGATTCACCAAAATTCAAAAAGGATTTAGCAGGAATATGCTAAATCCGTGCTAAAAACATGTTGACACGAGCTATTCGTCACGAAATCATCGATCAATTCGTGCCAAATTCGTGTCAATCCCGTAATTTTTTTTTTGCAGTGTATCTTTTATATATCATTATTATTGAGTATATATACTTTTAATAAATGTTTTTTTGGGATAAAAATATTGTCTCATGTTACAAACTTGTCTCATGGTGTACATGTCAAGCGCAATATCATTTTCAATGATCTATTAATGTCTCACCAAAGAAGGATGTTTTAATTAGCATACCTAAAGTTATTTTGTGGACATACTTAATTGCACATGAAAGATACATTTATGGCTATGTTCGAAAAAATGAGTTGATCTAATGTGAAGTCTATTGTCTGAATTAGAGATCATTTTCTAAATCAGAACGAAAGCTGATGAAACTAGAATGATGGGTGAATGAAGTACATACATTTGATTACATATATATATGAAATGATGACTAAAATGTAAAAGAAAAATGTGATAGCTAGGATATGTTTTACGGAGTAATAGAGAAAACATACACAAAGTAGAAGAGGCATAAGCTAATATAGTATAATAAATTATAATAAGGATGAATTAAAACGGTGAAATTAGTAACATTTCAAATCAGTTGATTGTTCTTATATTTAATCAACTTCAGCTTTCATATAAACAAGACTACATATCAAGTGATTGTTTACATGGATTAAACTCAAAATTAACTAAAGTTACATTATAGACTAGTCTAAACTAAAGGGTTACCCCCAAGAGATTTTTGCACTCTTTTAGCTGTAAATATTTCATGTTCATCAGTGTTATCATAAAATGCTTACTATAATATTCATTCTTGTTTCTAGGACTTTGATTATAGTTCATGAGCCATTCACTAAAGTAAGACCCATACTATGGAATATAACGGACGTTTTCAGACAGACTCGGGCATCACTGGACAATCACAACCTTAAGTACATCAGGACGACGACAAGTCATTTCACCGACGTGATAACCATGACGAAGAAGCCGTCGGAGGCCGATTTCCGGGCAGACATCAAAGGGACAATGATGGGGTTACTGGAGATAATCAACAAAACCAACTCCTTCTTCACCTACAATATATTCCCGATCACTTCTGTCGAGCAATACAAGTGGCCCATGGAATTCGGGTTTATGGACAACAAGTCTAATTTCACCGTCGTCGACGGCGCGTACACTTACACGAACGCTTTCGAGTTCTTGTTCGACGCGCTAGTCGTGGCTTTGGGGAAGGCGGGGTACCCGGACATGGAGATCCAGATTGGGCAAATCGGGTGGCCGACGGACGGATCCAAGGACGCCACCGTCGAGAACGCGGAGCGGTTCTACCGGAGCTTCATCCCGCACATCGTGAAAAACAGGGGAACGCCGCGGCGGCGGAACATATCGATCGATGTGTACCTCAATTCCCTCGGAGACGAGAATCAGAACATCATAGAGTACGGAGCGTATCAACGCCACTTCGGGATCTACGCGTACGACGGAGCGCCCAAATTCTCGATTGATATCTCGGGAAATGGCCGGAAGGTGTACCCGACGGAGGCGAAGGGGACGGTGAAATCGCCATCACGGTGGTGCATTTTCAAAGGAGACATGAGCAATAAGGCATTGGTGGAGGCGCAAATGGCGGCGGCGTGCAATATGTCAGACTGTACGGAATTGCTTCCCGGCGCGTCGTGCGGACGCATCGGGTATGCCGACAGGGTCTCGTATGCTTTCAACGCGCTGTATCAAATACAGAACCAGGAAAATCAGGCCGGAGCTTGCGATTTTGAGGGGTTGGGTGCGTTGACGCCGATCGATCCCTCAATCGGAGAATGTAAATACCCGGTGGGGATCTTGACGGCAGAGACGGTGGATGGCGGTATTCAATTAGCAGAAAACGTTTTTAATTATGCTCTTAATACTGGCATTAGCTCTTCGGCTTCACCTGCATTGAACATTTCATTAGAACAACTCTTTTTTGCTCTACCTATGTATATAATCTTCCTTGTTTTGATCACT